TAGAGCATCTCAGTGACTATAGTCAATAAAAGGTGCCTTATTTATGCAGTGTCGAAACTTCAAGTTTTAGTTTCAGACGTTGTAGAACTAGCCGATGCTCTGTTGAAAAAATGAATGTTAAAGCAACAAAAAAAAAAAATAAATAAATAAATAGGTTGGTCAACGGACGTATAAATAACCGCACTTTTTGAAGAGATAACTGCAGAATTACCAAACGCATTAACCAGAATCGCTCTGTTTTGTTCACTTCCGGAACCTTTAGGTTTTGAATCACGAAAAAGAAGTACAAATTTGAGAAATGCACTATTTGTGTATACCTATCAACCGCTGATTGAGTACTGATGTGAAGTGAGTCTTTTAATACCGTTATTGCAAATACTTTTTACCCAAGTAACGAACATCTTTTTTCTGATGCTGATTTGCGGAAGTGTTCAGATCAAATGATGCTGGTGAACAATTCGGTCTAATCTGATTTCTTGGTTCTGAAATTTTCAAACAATCAATACTACTTGATTCAATCATGTGGTTTTTCAGCAGAGGGTATAAAAATGCAAAAGAGAGTAAAATTCTGCAAGAAAACTTTAGGTACATAAAGCATTTCACAAATAATCGTTGACATTCGCTCAAACTGTGCAATATTCTCCGTTTTAGGAATTTAAGCTGAGAAAAAAAAATTTGCCATGATCTCAGCATGTCTAACAAAAACTTTGCAATGACATTATTACACTGCAACAGCAGTCTGTAAAAAGCGGTAAGCTCAGGACAGAATATGAAAGGCTACTGTAAAATAATTATGGTACTTTCATCGGATAATGTCTAAAAAAGCAGGTTAACTCATAAATTTGAATAATATTACGACTGCCGGTAAGCGCAGCATTATTCTTCGGCGGCTTATCTCAACTTGATCTTCAACACTAGTTTATTTTCAAAGTCCATTTAAAGACTTGCAAATCAGCAACTTTACCGTTAAATATTCTGTGGTTTTTTTCCTTTCTAAACTATCGAGTTATTGTAATTATTGTAATCTCTTTTTTTTTTTTTTT